CACTTAGGGCTGGAGATGGGCATAAAATAGATCCACCTTTTGTTTTGTTTTTGTTTGTTTGTTTGTTTTGTCTTTTAGTGACAGGGTCTCAGCATGCAGTTCAGACTGTGCTGGATTTCACTTTGAAGCTCATGCCAACCTTGGAAAGCACAATGATCCTCATGCCTCAGCCTCCTCACTGCTGGGATTACAACCAGGCACCACCACACCCTACCATTTTGTCTTGTTTTTGTGAGACAGAGTCTCAATATGTACTTCACTCTGGCATTGAACTCACTATGTAGACTTGGTTAGCCTCAAACTCATGGGAATCCTCGTGCCTCTGTCTCCTGAGTGATGTGTTTATATGAATGATCCACTATGTCCAACGGACACACTTTCAAAAATATTGCACAGAATGTTTGTGCCTGGTGTGGTGGCACATGTCTGTAATCCCAGCACTTTGGAGGCTGAGGCAGGAAGATTGTTGGCAGGTAGACACTAGCCTGGGCTACACAATGAGCTCCATGCCAGCCCGAACTGCCCAGTGAGACCCTGTCTCAAAAAGACAAATAAATCGCAGAGAATGTTTTTCAGCTTTTGGGAAAAGGAACATGGAATTTATCCATTCATATGATCACAAAGTTGATGCTAATATTAAGGACCAGAAGGAAAAGTATTTAAAAACCCATAAACAAGAGCAGTGGTGCATGGACTATGTTCCACCATCTACGATGCTGTTGCTGGCTGAGAGCTTCCAGCCCAGCCCAGGGAACTTGGTGACTTGGTGTGAAAAAATATTTGAAATGGAATGAATTTTGTATCCACTTAAGGGAACATGTTGCCAGAGCCTTCTCCTGAGACGCACCCAAAATGACAGCTGTGGATGTAATGAAATTTGTTCTCAGCTAAAGCAACATGCTGACTTAGTGAGAACCTTCTCAGAATAAAGAACACACCATGCGTGGTCACACATCTATGTAATCCCAACTCTCTGAGATTTTGAAGCAGGAGGATCACAAGTTTGATCTTATCTTGGGCCAGGTGTGGTGGTGTACCGCTATAATCCCAGCACTCAGGAAGCTGATGCAGGAAGATTGCTGCAAGTTCGAGACCACCGTGGGCTACAAAAAAAGCTCAAGTCCAGCCTGAACTGCATAGGGAGACCCTGTCTCAAAAAGACAAAAATAAATAAATAAATAAAATCTCAGCTTGGGCCACATGACATCTGAGAATTGGAATCAAAATAAAACATGACCAGTGGGCTGAGATGTAGTTCAGTGCAAAAGTTCTAGTTTCAAATCCCAGTGCCCCCAAAATACTAATTATTTGCTAGGATAAGTTCCAACATAGATCCCCTTGAGTTCTAGTCAAGAGCTCTAGCATGATGCAAGCTTCCCAGGGCTGTTATTAAAATTCTAGTAGAAGTAGGCATGTGGCCACATGCCTGCCAAGCCAGCACTCAGGAGGCTGAGGCAAGAGGATCACTGCAAACTTGAGTCCAGACTGAGATAAGTGAGCTCAAGGCTATCCTGAACTGTATAGCAAGACCCTGTCTCAAAAAGACAAACGAAAAACTTCTAGTGGAACCAGGAGTGAGGGTATACCCCTGTAATCCTAGTAATTACAAGGGTGAAGCCAAGAGGATGGAGGCCAACCTGGGCTACATGGTCAGACCAGGTCTCAAGAAAATGAAAGCAAAACCAATCAGTCACTCCAAGCAGGCTCAGTGATCCACGCCTGTCATTCTAGGACTTTTGAATGCTGAGTCAGGAGGCATCCAACCTGTAGCAGATAACTTAGTGATTCCTTGTGTAAAAATAGAAAATAAAATAAAAATGAGCAAAGGTATATCTCCATGCGAAGGCCTTGAATCCAACCCTCAGAGAAAAACAAGATAAAAATGTTCTCCCATTTAGTGCAGTTAAATCCAAAGTGCCCTTGCTCCTCCCCTTCACCTGCTTCAGCATCAGGAGGAATTCAGACGAATGACAAGGGAGCCCCTGCTGAGCTTTGAAGAGGTGGCTTTCATTGGAAGAAAACTGTGAGCTTTTAAATACTACATGACAAGATAAAGCCAGGTGTGGTGGCGTACCACTGTCATCCCAGCACTGGGGATGCTGAGGCAGGAGGATTACTGTGAGTCAGAAACCAACCTGAGCTACAAAGTAAGTTCACAGCCAGCCTGGACTACATAGCGAGACCGTGTCTCAAAAACAGTTATGAAATGACCTACACCAATGCACAAAGCAAGGTATAAGGTGTGAAGGCCAATTTGCACACTTTTGATCCGAAGAAAAATCTGACTCTGCCT